GCTCAGCACAGTTAGAGGTGTTGTCCTTCAGATGAGATGGTAAACTTGGGTCTGTTTTGCCTGCTCAAGTGGACATTAAAAGATCCCATTACCCTATTTGAAAAGAGAAGGGAATTGATCTCAGTGTTCTGGCCTGCAATTCCCCAGATAAAATTGGTCATTCACTTCTTGGCTTATTTGTGAGACATTGTTGTGCGCAATTGGCCGTCGCATTTGTCTGCGCTTTCCAGTAAAATCCTGTCAAGCACCTTGCGAAATTTCAACAATGTGATTAAGTGCTGCATCAAATGCAAATATGGCAAATCCCTGGACTTACTGGACTCCAGGTAAGCATAATTCAGACCTAGCCAGACCAGGCTTGAAAGCGATAAAAGTGGGTAAATGCAAGAATAGGCATTGTAATTGTAACTACCCTTACAATTCTGGACAGCCAGTGTCAATCTCCCCAACTTGTCCAGTAACTGGCGTTTTGGTGCATATGCATAATGTAAGTGCACTGGGACAGATAACTTTGATGTGTCTCATTCATACAGCAGCCAGCTACTGTACAACCCTATTACGCCTCATCACACTTCTCTGGGTCCTGTACCTCATCACAACTGCCTGTGTACTCTACTCTGTCTGGGTCGAATTTGCAGTATTTCTTAACAGGATTCCTATCAACCTGCAGGAACTCAGCTCAGGAAGTATTGGAGTATTGGAACAAAGATCCCGGGAAGTGGGGAGGTTGATATAATAATAATAATCCTTGCATTTGAGATAACGCCTTATTACATCGTCGAGATGTCTCAAAGTGCTTCATAGGATATACTGTAAAGTGGATTGACTGTGTATTTTGTGGGCAAACGTGGCAACCAATTTGCGCACAAACAGCTGTGGAGTGAGTGACTTTTATTTGAAGGATTTGTTGGCCAGGACACTGGGAGAAACTTCCTTCTCTTTTCAAATAGTGCCATGGGATCTTTAACATCCACCTGAACAGGTAGTCAGGACCTCAGTCTTAACATCTCATCCGAAGTACGACACCTCCGACAATGCAACAACCCCCAGTGCTGCATTGTACTGTCATCTTAGATGGTGTGATTCCGAATCCCGTCATGGGCTTGAACCCACAACCTTCTGACTCAGAGGCAAGAGTGCTACCAGTGTGTCAGTGTGACATATGACTGCAAAGCGTCCCCATTATGTGTCTCGGGTTCCTTGCTGAGAAATCCTATTAAAAAGTGCCTCAGATCTGACCCCCATCAAGACCAATACCTTACATTGCAGTAACAGCGTTACATCTCAAAACCAGGAGATGTCCAGGAACACGCAGTATTCTCAGAAGTCTCTGTTCAATGAATAGAGCTGGTGCTGATTTATATACAGAAACAATCCTGGCAGCACCACAGTTTAAGACAGGAAAGCTGGTACCCAGCCACCCTGATTTGCTTAGGGAACAGCCTGCCCGCATATCTAATGCTATTTATCATTGAAGTTAAAAGATTATATTGAGGTGAAAATAAACATTAACATGTGTTCTCCAGAGAGGGCCCAAATTTGATTTTCTTCTGATCACACTTCTTCCGATTAACCAGAGTTAAGATTTTAGAGCACGCGGTATATCATTTGTAGCGCTGCCAAAATGTTGCCTTTGCACTCCCTGGTAGTGAGATTGTGAAGACGAAGAATCTTTACATTTGATACAGAGCTTTATCATGTTGTCGAGACATTTCAAAGTGCTTTGCAGAATATACTGTAAAGTGGAATATACTGAAATGCCGCAGTCAATTGCGCACAGCAGTGTCCCACAGACAGTTGTGGATTGAGTGACCAAATTTATTTATTTTATTTATTTTTTGGAGGGAGTATGACCCCCGGAAAGGATCTGCCAATCGACTTACAACCGGGTTCCTACTTACTCCTTGGTAACCAGGTGCATGTGGAGTAAGGAAACTTGCCTAAGGGTTCGTCCTGCCCAGGAATCAAACCTGGGTCCTCTCACTTGCGAGGCGAGCGCGCAAACCACTACACTACGGGACTCCGAAGAAGATGAACTCTCCAGTGAACGCTGTAAGACTGAACTGCTGAAACTCTCCTGACAAAGGCAACAAACCTGGAAAAGGGACTCACTGTCTTCAGAAGAAAAAGTGCTCGGCAAAAACAATTTTTTACTCGGAGAAAGAGAGATAAAATAAGAATGACAGTGACTTGCATACAAATAACGTGATGACACGTAAGTGATGATAAGTGATGATATGTAAGTGAATGCAAAACAGGTTTAGCAAGCACTCTTTAGCAGAGGTTCTGTTCCATTCAATGGCTCCGGTTATGTACAGTGCCAGTTACAGCTCATTTGGACTATTGTATGTTCAGTGTTGGCCACCCAATTTTAGAAAAGATATACTTGCTCTGGAGGGTATCCAGCGAAGGTTGACTAGATTAGCAGCAGGGTTGAAGGGGATTAACTATGATGAGATGATAGTTAGACTGGGGTTATATGACTTAGAGTAGAGGAAGTTTAAGGGGTGGTTTGATTAAGATGTTTAAAATAACTAAAAAGATTGACAGATAGACAGAGGACATCTCTTGCCCCTAGTAAACACATGCATTACAACAGGGCACGGCCTTAAAATCAGAACTAAGATAATCAGAACTGAAGTCAGGAAGCATTTCTTAATGAAAATGTGAAACATTTTACCTCAGTAAACTATAGACCAATAGACAAGTTTGAAAGAGAGACAGACAGATACTTGGGTAGTAGAGGCATAAAGGGATGTGGGCAGGGCATTGAGATTAAAAAGACTGACAAAATCTAATAACCTGGTGGAACAGGTTGGATCAGTTGAATGTTTTCTTTTGCTGGTTTCTTTTAAGATCTGTGAAAAATTAACAAAAACTAACCTTGCGTTTGATATAGCCCCTTTCACATCATCGAGATGTCTCAAAGAGCTTCACGGGATATACTGTAAAGTGAATCGACTGTATTTTCTGGGTGAAAAGCGGCAGCCAGTTACGCACACCAATGTTCCACAAACAGCCATCGGGTGAGTGATCAAATATATTTGGGGGGTTGTTGGCCAGGAGACCAGGAAATGGGACCTCAATTTAACATCTCATCCAAACTATGCACTTCTGACAATGCAGCAACCCCCCTCTACCCCCCCCCCCCCCAGCACTGGAGTGTTAGCTTAGACTATGTGAGCTCAATCCTGACGTGGCAATGAGTGGAAGGAGAAAGAAAGGAGAGAGCACAAGGAAAACAGAGAGACTTAAATGGTCCCCACTACCTTTCCTGATAATCCATTCCACCTATCAATTACCCCCTGTGTAAAGAAATAGTTCCTGATCTCTGTCCAAAACACAACGTTCAGAATCCTGAGCATGTGCTGTCATGTCCTGCTGCCTTTGCCATATTGATATAATATTATCATCTGAAAACATTGTTCGCACAGCATGTAATTCATAGTTAGAGCCTTGTGTCACTAATTTGTCCCCAAGCTTCCTAGTTCTTCAGAAGGTTGGGAGTTTGCCAAGGTCACTATCAATTCAGCCACATGATTGAACAATAGATTACTGGAACTGATCAGTGCTTCCTTCCCATTGAGACATAGCAGCTCACAACAGGTAGAGAGATCTGTCTGGAAACAACACAAAGCCAGAGAAACTCAGTCACTAAAAGAGAAGAGTTTCAGTGGCATTAAAGAAATGATCACATTTTGGGTCCTCTGAATGGGAATCCAGTCATCTGCTGAGGAGGTTGTGAACAGGAAAAGGCCATTCAATGTATCAAGCTCAACCTCACTAGAAATACCAGACTTGCCGGGCCAATGTAGACATGTTATTGTGGCTGTGATGATTATCACATGTTCCAACATGGGACGGAGGCACAGTTAAACATTTTAATCGGTTTGATGCCCTTTATTTTAGCAAGCTTTACACAGTCTTAACCAGTCTTAAGGGTTATTTAATATTGGTTGGCAAGTTTAACAACTTTGGCAACGCGGTTTTATAATGGGAAAAAATCAAACCATTTACCGAGCAGAAAAATAATCCCCTGAATCCTATTTTTTTTAACCTGTGGCAGTTGAATTTGTAGCGAGCAGTGCAGTCTTGTATCCCTGAGTCTGCAGAAATTACACTCTCTATCTAGTCCAGAATTCTGACATAAACAACCCAACGTGAAGAGATGAAAGTTACATTGCATACAGAGATCTCCGCACAATAAATGCCATGCTATACAAACAACAATGGTGCAATTAATCAGATACCAGGACAACTTCTCACTGAAACAGAGTTATGGGCTGAGAATACTGAATTAGAAACGTCTAATTCTAATTATGACCCTATATGCCCAGGATAACACAATACATCTAATTTAATACAGAACGAACGTCTGGGGAACAAAAAGCCAGCCCAGCAAATAACATTTTCTCAAATGTTTTCTCATCACTTATAAATCTCACGATTCAACACACGTCTAAGAGACACGTTGTATTCAGTGCCTGTTGTACATGTACTATGTTATGAGACAAGTCAGTTTGAAAGTCCTAATCAGATCTCATTATATCCTGTTGTTTGTGATACTGTGCATTTATTTTCCACGCAAAGTACAAAATTAGGAATTATTCCACATTAAATTACAAACAGATGACTTTGTCTTGCCATAAGACAAAATAATATTGCCATGATTACAATACAAAGTGTCGTTCCCAAACCGCTTGAGGTTCCATTGATATGAGTTCTGCGGGATCTTACAATTGCGAGGTTGCAATGCCACAGAGAGAACAACCAACCCTGCATACTTAGAGTGCAACGCAAACCAACAAGATTAAAATTGAGCTGCACTGGATCTGACTTTGTGCTGCCGCAGTAAGATTCTTATTCTGGATTAGCGTCCAAACAAATACACTGATTTTCTAATACAACAACGACGACAACAACTACAACTTGCATTTGCATAGCTCTCTTCACGCCGGACGGTGTTGGATAATAGAAAAATGTGACAAATCGGTTTCTACCTTGAGCCTGTGCCGCAGAACTGTGCGAGTATCCGAGGGATAAAAGGGCCGTCTCAGTGAGCTGGTTGAAGAGCACGTCTTTGCGAATGAGCACGAATTCGGAATGCTCTTCTTTGCCCTCGCAATCTGTAGTGTTGCCTGCCTGCTCCACCACACAAAACACTGGCAGTGTTGACCCTGTATGGGTTAAGGGAAAAAGACGGTGAATAATAAGAGAGGTGGGGGATTCATTTAATTCATTCATTTCAGTCTGATCAGATCGCAACTCCAATCGCTTGCAAATGCCGTTTGATAGTCTATCCATTTTGATTCATTGACCTGTTTGTTGATACTAGCAGGACACCATTAGTTTTACTGAACAGGCCGCATTTCTGACTTGAAAACAGAGATTATACATATGGCGAAGTAGAGGTTTATTCAAGTTTTCATGCCTTTAATTGGCTTGCAGTAAACAACAGGGAATCAATACAATTATATTTTATTTCTTATGTTACCAAAAAAATGTTTGCTAAGATTAATTCAATTTGAAAAAATAGGCAAAAGTGCCCAGCAAGCACATTAGGTGTACTCTAAATAATAATAATCCTTGCTTTTTTTTTGCATTATGAGTACAAGATTTCAGAAACTACCAACTTTTGCAGTGTCTCTACCTCTACCTGTGGGATATTATTATTGAGCCCCAGAAGTGTTGTTGTACTTCTCAGAGGAAGTGTGGAAGGAAATTGAAGCAAATAGAAGGAAATTGCATGTGCACAGAGGAGAAGATCAAATTCTTTGTCATTTCAAAGAACGACTATTACAATTTAAAGATCCTTTTTCCAAAATGTTAAACAATTGGGGGAAATTCTTAACAGTTACAATAATTTTCCTGTCAGATTTGTTTTAAAGAATTGTTTGAGGGCTGATAAAGCTATGCCAGTGGTGGCGAGAGGAGATGGAATTGGGTGTTTGTGGGATGGGTGGAAGAAGGAAAAAAGAGATATGTTTGTAGGAGTTATTGAACCAGACAGATTAAGAAGCTGAATTAGCCTGCACAGTTACAACTGAAGCATGCCGTGTTATTGACGTTAAATCCGCTACTGTTAATACACTGTTGGCCACGTTAAATTATCTGAGCAAATTCCTTCAATCATTCAAGAACATTCAGTCACTGTATTTTTTATATTGGAGTTGCTGATAGTTCATTATATAGTCTTGGAGATGTCACCCGATCTTTTATAAGTATCAGCTGAAACACGACTGCAGATTCCAAAAAATGGGCTGAAATGAACAGTCGATCCTAGCAGGACTCGACTGTGCTATCATCCAGCACATACATTGCTATCCAAACGTGATCAGCACAAAGCAAGGACATTCAGTCATCAAGAGTTGCTGATAGGTTTACAGAGTATCCTGAGCTTGATAACTTTCTGGAGTGACTCCCCCCCACCACCCCATCCATTGGGTTGCTTTATGAAATAAAATTGCTCACTAAAATGAACATCTTTGGTTTATAAACTTCAATCCTGCTCACTGGCACATGATGGACGATATTGCTAATAAGAATATAGTAAATGCCTTCTGCACTTGTAATCCTAACACAAGATCGATTTAAAAATACTTACAACTGAAATTATCATCGACCAAGGTACCTGCTTGTCTGAAACATTGGGTCTCAGTTTCTGACACGAAGGTTTTGCTACCAGAGCCATTTGCTACTGGACTTTTGTTAATCCACCATCTTTGAAAGTTTAACTTTTTTTTGTAATATAACATTTTAATTTGAGCTGTTTATATGACTCAAGGTTCTTGCAACAAATGGGGTTTGATTACTGAATCACCACTCTGCATGCACTTTGTTCCTCGTGAATATTTATGATTTTATTTTGCAAGTCCTCTTAAAATACTTCTTAAAATCTATACCTAGCAAATTATCAATACAAATGACCTGAGCATTCCTTCAACAATGGTGACAACTATCTTGTACAGCTTGAATGAACTATAGCTCTGATCCATTCACTCCCTAGGGTAGAAATTCTACTTGGGGAGTGAATGGATCTACTTAGGTCTAGATTTACTCTGTTGACATAACATTTCAAAATTTCCAGAATTTGTCAAATTTTAAATCAATAAATAAATGATCATTGTATTTGATATAGTGCTTTACATTTCGGGGGTTTTGTCTCAAAGGCAAACACAGCAGCCAGTTTCGCGCACAGCAATGTCCCACAAACATCCATGAAGTGAAAGACCAATTTTATTTAGGGGATTGTTGGCCAGGACACTGGGAGAAACTCCCTTCTCTTTTCCAAGTAGTGGTATGGGATCTTTAACGTCCACCTGAACAGGCACAGATGGGATTGCTATTTAACATCTGATCTAAAGGACAGAACCTCCAACAATGCAGCCCACCCCAGCTTCGGAGTATCAGACTATCAAAGTTTAAAGTCCCGAGGTTACGGGACTTTAAAGTTTAAACATGAGGCTATCAACTGAGCCAGGCTGACAGGCGATTACAGCCTTAATTCTGAAGCCGGTTTTCTGTCATTTATTTTAAGGACTACAGAAACGGATGCCAAAAGTTAAAACAGCATTCGACAATTTTCAAAATTCTGTGCACTCTGAAAGACTACGTTAAAAGGAGTATATTTAGATCCTGGTGGAATTTCTAGCCATGGGTCCCTCAGCCTAAAAGTCTTCATAATGCAGTGTCCTTGTCCTCTCTGCCTCAACTACTCTAATGAATCCAGACACTGCCTTCAGCAAGCGTGGATAAGTTACTACAATATCACTTGAGGATTAGCTTTCTTCTCTGAGATTTATTTTATTTTTATTTTTAAAAAGACCGCTGATATATATATATATTACTTTCTAATTTTTGCAAACTTTGGTGCAATGACAGACAGTGTCATATTTTAATTGCTGTCAGAGCCTATAGAGGTGAATTTGTCAACATCGCTGGATCGAGTCGACAACACTTGACAGACATTGTGGTTAGCACCACAAGGTGGGGACAAATGTCTAACCTTAACACAGTATTTGAGTTAATAGGGACTTATTCTCAAAAATAACGTGAAACTTGTTTCGCCAACAAATTATACAGTCAATTCACTTTTTACGATATTCTGTGAAGTGTTTTCAGACGTCTCGAAGACGTGATAAAGTGCTATATCATTATTAAAACATTAAGGACCCATTCACAGATAATCGCCTTAACTACAATCTCTTCCAAATGGAAGACTGGTTGTTTACTCACTTTCTCAGCATGGGAAGGGATTCTCAAAAATAACATGAAACCTGTTCTTGCTGAGCTAACCAATGCAATTTGTTGCTATTAAGACGAAGCGGAACCTGTCTTCAGGGGCTAAAAGCCTTGGAAATGTGGCCTTTGTCCTGTTTGTGAACAATTTCACTTTTTTGAGTTTTAGGTAACATGTTATCAATTGCTCAGTGCAGTAGACTGACCTGCAAAACTAATACCCTATGTACCTTTTCCTTGCCCCCACGCTTACAGTATAACTTTACAAAGAAAACATAAGCCATTACCCTGTTAAATAGTCACATCATTCCAAATCGCTATTCCTGGTTTCCACCTATTCCTCTTAAAACAATAAAAAGACGCAGAAATATAAGAAAAAAATCCCGGCTCGTCTCTCCTTAACGCACAACCTGAAGCATTTGACTGAACCACTCAAATCTTAGGCAATAGTCGGAGTGTGTGGTATTATATTTCCATTTACACTTGAACTAGTTTGCATCACTTTGCGATCGCTTTCTCTGCACAGACCCCGAAGACACAGTTTCTACAGCTCCTGAGGGAGAATCTTAAAATAACCACTTGAATCCGACAATATTTTTAAGAACATTTCTAAAGCACAACCGACCGAGGAGGAACTGGTATCCGCATTGCAACGCTGACTGATGCAAATTACTGATACAGATTACATTTGTATCATGTCCTGAAATATCTCGATTTGACAAAGTGCACTTATTCTCGACTGGGAATTGAGAGGCTATTTTTTTTTCTGTATTAAAATTACTTTAACTGGTCACTGAGGGCAGAGTGCTCATGAAACCTGGGAACATGCCTTTTTTTCCTACAAAATAAGGACATAACCAGCGATCCCTTACACCCTGCAATAGTGCTCTCTCCCTCTCTCTCTCTCTCTGCAAATGACAGGGAGTTTGTTTTTGATGTCAGGGAATCGCTTCTCACGAGTTACACGTTGCACTAAAGCTGGGACGTGAACCTGTTTGGAACAGGATGGGGGTGAGGGGGAGGGGGGGGGGGGGTGAGGTGAGGTGAGGGGGGGGGGCAGAGAGTCTGCACCTCTCCCCCTCCCAGCAAAGCCAATATTTCTACAGAGTGGTGATGGAGTTGGGAAGAGCATCCCAAATGAACTGCACATCGGCCGAGCTCGGCTTCCTGTAACCCTACACCCCCAAAGGAGACTTTAAATCAACCTGAACCCCCTGACGCCCAGAGTCGTGGTGGCCCTGATGTCAGCTCCACACCAGCAGTAGTGACTGGGATCATACCTCCCAATGCCTTGACCGAGGATCCATTGACCCGGGCTCTCCCCCCTCCTGTCGGGCTGTCATTCGGCTCCAGCCTGGCCATCTTCCCCGGGGTTGGATCCCTGGCATCGGGGCTGCTGCTCCTCCTCTCCGGGCTCTCCCTGAGGCAGGGGCTGGTGCTTCTCATCTCCATTCTCCGCCACCAATTTGTGAAGGCTCCCGAATGCAGCTCACAGTGGAAAGTGCATAGACCTGGAACCAAAGGAACCCAGAGAGTCAAACCCAATTGCCAAAGCCTCGCACTGTCTTGTCCATAACGCGCCACCACCGCGTGTTAAGCTTAACACATCCCAATATCTGGAGCTGGAGGAGACATCACCTGCAGGAACACACTCGAAGTTATCTTAAAACGTCGAGAAAGAGAGAGAGAGAGAGAGAGAGAGGGTGAGAGAGAGATAGAGAGAGAGAGATTGAGGGAGAGAGAGAGAGAGAGAGAGAGAGAGAGAGAATAAAAAAGGGGGTTAGAAGTGAAAGATTCAGTTGCAGAGACACTCAGGAGATGTCTCGACTCTTCTATACACATCTATACGTTCTTACGAGACTAACATCTAAAGAAAAAACCAGACTGCAGTTAAGAGAGAAAAAAAAAAGCCCACGCAAACTGACACATACACCTGACAAGTTAAAGTTAAGGCAATTTGTCATTTTGAAACAAACCTTAAATCACTCGCTGTCTGGCGGCTGTGCAACAAAGCGGGTTTCAGTGTCTGCGACGCATTATCTAAAAGTTTTCACTTAAACCTGTCACCTCGCAACGCTGCGAGCGGCTGTGTTGACATTTTTTTTTAACTCTCTGACAGCAGACGCTTTTTTTTTTCTTTTGCAAACACTCGAGGAGGAATCCCGCAGTTTAAATGCATCAAAACGCAATGAGAATCGCCTCTGGTGAGATGGAAGTGGCTGGAGGTGACACCGCAGTGTTGCGCCGTTGGTTTAAGTCGCAACTTTAACAACTGCTAGTCTTTTTTTTTGGGGGGGGGGGGGGGGGGGGTGGAGGGTGGGGGGGGGGGGGGGGGGGTGGAGGGTGGGGACGGGTGAGAAAAAGTAACTGCCTGCAAAAACTCAGTTGAAGCCTGTCTGCCTGTTGTTCTGTTGTTGGAAAGTCTGTCGCCCTGTGACTTACTGTCTAGGATGTGTCTGTGACCTGCGGGAACCGGACTCCGTCCATGTGTCAGGCGCTGGGGATCCAGGTCTGGAAGTTTAGCTGCTGGACCTGCAGTCCCGGACTCAGATCCTCTCTCTCTGTGTGTGTGTGTGTGACTGTGTGTGTGATCAGATTTGGGTCTCCTGTCCGATCCGACTGTGTGGAGTGAGGGGTGAGGGTGTTGGGGGGGGGGGGGGGGGGGGATGGTGGTGGGAGGTGGGTGGATGGGGGAAGGAGGAGGGCGAAATAAAGTGTAACTGGCTTTTTTTTCCCCCCTTTCTCTCCCTCTGCCTCTCTGTCTCTCTCTCCCTCTCTCTTCAAACCGATCACACCTTATCCACAAGTCTTGTCCTCCCACCCCTCTTACTCCCCCCCCCCACCCCCACCCCCACTCCCCACCCACCCCCCACTCCCCACTCACCCACCACCACCACCAAAAAAAATTTTTGTTTTAAAAAAAAGAGTAAATCACTTGGAAAACAAATCTTAAAAAAACTTTCAGGAAACTGGCGATCCGCGAGAAAAAAAAACACCCCGTGTGATTTTGGTCGAACTGTATACTGTATCTCTCTCTCTCTCTCTCTCTCTCTCCACGGTCGAGACGTGAGGACTGACTGACAGCGACAGAAATGAGAGAAATTATTAGTTACGTTGATTCATCAGCAGTCCGGCCCGGGGCGTCCTTCCTTCGCTATATTCCCACTCCTTTCCTGTCCTGATCCGACTGTTGGGAGAGTTTTACACTCAAGGTAAGGAGTGAGTGAGTGAGTGAGTGAGTGAATGAGTGAGTGAGAAGCCAAGGTGAGGGGGGAAGAGAGAGAGAGGGAGAGAGGGAGAGAGGGTGAGGGAGGGAGGGGAGGGGAGGGATGGTGATGGGTGGGATGGGAAAGTGACTGCCGATTGCCTGGACCCGGGCAGTCAGTTTGATTAAGAAATAACCACCAGAGAGAGAGAGAGAGAGAGAGAGAAAAAAATTTCCCCCGTCCTTTGCGCGCAAGAATTTTTAATCAGCTTGAATACTGTAAGACGGTTGGCATTTATTACAGATAATAACACCACATGATCAAATAATGAGATGGCTGACTGAGCCCTCCGAATGGATGCATTACAATAAGCAAACATTGCACACGCACACACATACACACACACACACACACACACACACACATACATACAGAGAGACATACACACATGCACACGGATACATAGAGAGACATACACACGCGCGCAAAGACACACACACACACACACACACACACACAGATATACACACAGAGACATAGGGAGACATACACACACACACAGATACACACAGACACATCGACACACACACACACACACACAGATACACAGAGAGACATACACACACACAGAGACAGAGATACACAGAGACTTACAGAGAGACATATACATACACACAGACACCCAGAAGATACACAAACACAACACACATACAGATAGATACACACACACACACAGACAGACAGACAGACAGACAGACATATATACACATAGATACCCAGAGAGACATACACACAGAGACATACAGAGAGACATACACACACACACAGACAGTCAGACAGACAGACAGACAGACAGACAGACAAGAGAGATACACACACACACACAGAAACACACACACACACACACAGAAATACACACACAGAGAGACACATATACACACACACATACATGCGCCGACACTTTCCCTCATCTCAAGCCGCGCATGTTACACTTTAATTGCTAATATAAAGTTCCATGTTAAAGGAGCATTATCGTACATATTGATGTACGAATAAATACAGTTTCTCCCCCAGGCGTCAATAATACAATCTGAAACAAAAGAATTATTCCTGCTTAATATTTTTTTTAAAGTAATAATAAGCGTTGTATAAATAAAACAAATGCAATGCCATGTAAAATTAGTTCATAATAAACTGCATTCTTGATAGACAGATGCTTTTCAAGCTCTTAATAATTTATGAGCGAGAACGTGAACGTGTCCAGGAGCTTGTGTTGAATATTTAATAAAGTCAACAATTTCTTTTGTCGTCCCATTTCTTTGTCTTTTGACTCTAAATGTCTGAAACAGTTTTCTGCGTACACTGTATATTAAATAAAAGAGCCCCTGTGCAGTGTGTTTTGGGGAGGGATTTTGAATGGACGAGAGAGTGGGGCTGAGCTGGAGAGGGAAAGTCGGAGGGATAAGGACGATTTGCTTCTCACATCGCATCCTCACTCTCTCGTCCTCCTCCTCCTCCCTCTATAGTCGGTCTGTCGCTCTGTTCTCAAATGTTACAGAGTCCGCGGCTAATGCTCTGTCCGTGAAATCCAATGCATAAAAGTAATCGCACGGTTTAGTGGGGGATTACATATATATATATATATATATATATATTAAAGTGAAGCCTTTTTATGCTGTTGGATTCTTTATTTGCCACGGTCCCTGCAGCCTGACATTTTGCAAATAAAAAAAACGATCTGCCGTCACACGCCACAAAACTTACACGGTTGCCATGGCCGAATAACAACACCCCCCCACCACCCCCACCCAAAAAAAAAACCTATGAACTTGGTGGCATTGTCAGTGCTCTCTGCTCTGTGCTGGTGACTCAGTGGACGAGATGAGAGCTCTCCCATTTAAGGTGGCACATCATCCACTGTCTTCAAAGCAACTTCGCGAATGGGGGGCAATAACCCCCTCCCTCCCTCCTCAACCCCCTAACCCCCCCCCCCCCCCACACACGTAATGTTCACTGTTAAAGGGCAAGATTTCGCTTTATTTCCGCCCCCCAGATTATTTAGCGGCTCATCGGAAAGACAGAAAAGTGTCTGCCGGGACTTCAAGTGTTAAACGGGATGGCTTTTTAACACTGTCCCTGTCATCGCAGCTAAAGGTTTCCTTCTGTTTTAAGACCCATTTGGAGCGGGTACAGGAAGCTTTCGGATGAGCAGCGTTTTCACTCAGTGTTAACGTAAACCCCAATGTCCCTACTTTCTCTGTCAGTGAAGTGCATTGGGGAGGGAGGGAGAGATGTATGTGTGTGTGTGTGTGTGTGTCTGGGATGTGGTGGGGGGGGGGGGGGGGGAGTGGGGGTTGTACAAAAAAAACCCACCAAATGTGTTATCCATTAACTATGATTCATCTCTCAATATTGCATTACAATAGTTGCATTTATTTTCTGCTACAAAAGACATTGTTCTCACAATTTGGGTTTGCCCTCAAGTGATCAGAGCCTGAGACTGACTGACTGACTGACTGACAGTGAGTGACTGACTGAGTGACTGAGTTTTGCTGCTCTTTCACGTTTTGCTGCATGTCTCCCCTGTTGCGCTGTGGAGGTTATGTTTTTTTTTCCTCTTTGGCGCCCGCGTTATAGTGGGTTGATCCGGTAACGAAGCGGTTTCTTTTCCCCCCTTTTCAGCAAACTGGACTCAAATCCTCCTTAAACCCAGGTGGGAAAGAGCAGCCCGAACGGTGGCGCCACTGCCCGACACCGCAACACATCAGCAAAGCACAAGCCGCTTGCACAACTCGAATCTGCTGCTCTTGGCCTCTGCCTCTCTCTCTGCCTCTCTCTGCCTGGCACCCACTCACATGCCTTTTTTTTTTATCACCTCGAAAATAAAACAGAGCCAATCGGGATTTGCAAATATATATATATATACATATATATGCATTGCATAAAGCAACAGCGCAAGAACTACATTACCTCCTGGTTGAAAGCGATCTACTTTGAGGCAAGGAGGAAGGAGGAGAAGTCAAAAGTTCCAGGCTTGCATTGCATTGAAGTCTTCCCAAATAAATATCAGCCAGTCCTCAGCGAGGGACCCGGCCGCAGACTCTCTCCACAGTCAGTGGGTAAGCCCTCAGACACCGCAAATCAATCGCCTGATAATATCTATCAGCAGAACGATAAGCGTGTTTGCCTTCAATACGGCCCCGATCGATAGTCATTGCATTGTAATTGGCTTTTATTTATAGATCCGCAGTTTTTATGGTCATCGCGGTGGCGTCCGCTGACAGTGTATCGGTGGATATCGAACTGGTTTGGAGTGTAACCGTGCACTGATTTGCATTTCCTACTCATCTTTTTTTATACGTGAAGCCCGGGGTGGAAATCCCAGTGTTTATCTCCACTGTTGGATATTATTTATTAACTATTTAATGCATAAAATATGATGACTGACTTCACTGTGCGGTAATTAATGACAGAGCTTAAAGTTGGCGGAAGTTTGAGGATCCCGAGCAAAAAAAATATTGTATAACCCCCCACCCCACCCCCCACCCCTCCCAAAAAAAGTTTCTGAAAGTTTCGGAACGACAGATACAACTGATTGCAATAGAAAATTGTGTCTTTTTTTAAAAAAAAACACCCGAAGAATCCACCTTGCGATCCGCTGACAATTGTTTCTAGAATTGTTTAGTACAGAAAAAACGCCTTTCGTTAAGTATTTCATTATTTAATGAATTAACATAAAGAGAATTGTTTAAATCTTGGTGGGAGGGAGGGGGAGGAGGGGAGAGGATTTATTTGCAAGACTATTATCATCACAGACTATTCATTACAGACTTTTTCATCTGTTCTTTTTCTTTGGGGGGTGATGGGGGTGGGGGGGTGGGGGGGGGAGACATCTTTTAAAACGCGATCCGGTTTATGACTGCAACAAATGAGTCTGTGCTAAAGCCCCTCCCCATCAAATCGAAAGGGATGTCTGTGTAAATAAAACAGATTTATTCCATATAGTCCGGTGGCTGATGAGGATGTTATGTTATGCAGTGAGGGGTTTACATTGTGTTTGTGTGCAGGGAGGAAGGGGGGAGTCTCTAAACCTACTCCTTTGATATCATGCTGCATTTAATTCTATATACTCATTTACAATTACCACGTATTGGAGCCCTCCCCAGATTCCGTTGTGGCTTATTTAATAATATTTTTTAAGATTCCCAGATACCAATTAGATGGTGTTAGGGTTACTGGCTGACTTCTCTTATAAGGTTACTGTTACTTCACTGACTTTCCCACTTTACTTCAGCCCTCTGAACCAGGCTGAGCCCATTTTGAGTTAATGCGGAGAGATAAACCTTGTATTATAAAGGTTCGTGATTTGAAGGGATTCGTGTTTTGGACAGTGCTGTGTGTCTTGCTTGGGGAGTGGGTGGGTGGGTGTGTGTGGGTGGGTGGGTGGAGGGCTTATTTCGAAAGGAAATGTAGCTGCAACATGATGCTAAATACCTGGCAAACTAATAACCTGATATTTTCAAAAAAAACAAATATATAGATATATATATATTGTGATGAGGAAACGTTCTTAACTCAAGAGATTGTAAGGGTTTTCTTTGAGAAGTTTGGCCGACTGATCAAAGTGACGGCATTCACTTCTCGGACCTCTTCATGGGCCTGCATTAAAGTCTGCAACAAATTATGGAAGGCTAGTCACCTCCTGTTTATATATACTTGTGTGTGTGTGTGTGAGAGAGAGAGAGTGTGTATGTGAGAGTGTGTGCGTGTGAGTGGGTGTGTAATTATCTTTTCCGCGCGATTTTAAAATAAATTTGCATTCACATCGCAACGATTCGTGCTATTATGCATTCTTGAAATTGACCAAGGAAAGTGTCATCACTGGGGAAACACAGGGACTTTCTTTCGCTGTCCTGCTACTTTGACAACTCTTTGAGCAGAAAGACAAGACACTCGGACATTTTCTTTCAAACATCCGAAACGTCAGGATTCAGGTTCCATTCCTAATCCTATTCTATTCATTCTGACACCAACAGGAATAGCACACATTCCCTGCGCTGCCAGTGATATCATTTGCATGCATCACTTTATTTTTTGTGTGGGGAGACTTCATTTGGTCAGCAATATGAAAACTCATCTACACATATATATATATACATATATGTTAAAAATAAAGATTTAAAATAAGGTTGGAAGTTACTGTTCTTGCCCCTAATGTGGAAACTCCAATATCCAATCGTTCATTAAACCCCAATTTGATAAATTAAGGCGCATTTCGTGAATTCAGTATTGCTGTGCTGTCTCGGTTGTTGTCGTGAAGAGAGAATGCAACAGTAAATGATCGCGACAAATATTCGGGCCTTTGTAATTGAGTGTTAATTCAATCGAAGTTATAGTAAACTCTTCAGATGAGAGAACCATGTGTTTTCGGTGTGGTCCTTCTCCACGGACCTGTAGAAAAGACCTGGGGGAAAAAAAACAGGAGTCATTTGAAAGTTGTACTCATTAAAATACACGTTATTTGGAATCTCTGTCTTTCATGCTTGTGCTCCCTCCATTTGATTTTAAACATTAGGTATTTGCAGCTATTCATTTCTTTAGATTTTGACAATAAAAGTTTTGATTAACAACAGTCTGTGATTTTGTGTTTGTCAGCTTCGGATTTCTTAAACTTGCCTCCTGTGTTAGTGACTTGCAAAGTACCGTGTTACAAAGGGGGGGGGGAGAGAGAAAATCGCCACCGTTAAATTAACTAAGTCTAACAGTTCGGTGGACTTTTCCCAATTTTGCTGCTGGGGAGGGGATGAAGGGGATTGGAAATTGGCCGCCCGACTAGAACCAAGAACTGGCTGTATAGTTGACGTGTGTATCAGTGAGTGTGTGTTGTGTGCTGACTCTGTACGACCGAGTCAGAAATTTTACACCAGGGTCTGTCTCTCGCCTTTTATTTTGTTGTTTGTCAGCAGAAAGTATATGCCAGGTAATAGCGAAACAAAAACAGCGAGCGCCTTGTTTCATTTACGTTAATACAGAGGCAGTCTTTTTCTTTTTTTTCCCACTGAACATGTTGTATTTCCAAAGGTGAAGGGAGGGGGTGGGGGGGTTATGGAGAAGCACAATTGTGTGTTTATATGCAAGTGTTTGCAAATGTGTCATACATAGATTTATACACACTGTATATATGTGCACATGGGTTTGTGCATATATATATATACGGTGGGCATAAATGTATGTATATGCGTGTGCCTATCTCTCTATATATGTATAATATATATTACCATTATTTATGCACAGTTGCATGTCAACACTAGGCACACTCCATAAGCCTCGCAAAGTTTACGCTTACACTTCGACTAGTATTTAGAAATTAAAAGGGGTCTGGTCAGATGTCCCCTTTCGTTCTATAGTTGCGAGTTTCTTTTACTTGGTTTTCAGATAAAATTTTATTTAAAAAAAATTATCTTCATCCGTTTTAATATTACGAATGATTCCAATGAGCAATAGATACTGTGAATAATACCCCTGGCCTTAGCATTCAATGTGATGACACAAGTTTTAGTCATTAAAAGCCCCTGAACAACAGGTTCTTTTAAATGTATGTTGAATCTTGTTAATACTGTATCGAATAAAACGCTTAATTAAATAGCCAGTCATGCATTGAACTTAAAACTGCAGAAATGGGCCCATAAAGATTATTTATTAACTTTTATATTAAAACATCTCACTTCTCACAAACTGCGGGCCAATTTATTTGATACCTATTTGGGATGAAAAGGACACCCGCTGCAGAACGTGGTGTCTCGGTTTTGAAGTTACACTGCAGATAAAGTAGCCCTTTTTTCTCCTGCAATGTTTGTTTGGAGCATCTCCAGATATGTGTTTTCAAATAAACCGTGTTTTGTGTCGGGTTAGGGTGGAGTAAAATATGTGTCGCTGATAGAATACCACCCGTTTTGCCGTGAGCAGCAATCAAACATGTTCTGACACCGAACACAACTCGTAAAGAGTTCGTGAAACACAACAGAGGGAGTTATGTTGAAGGATTGTATGGTGCATTTCTGTCTGAGATGCATTCATGTCTGAGCTGCAGTTTGCTTGGGGTTTTTTTTTGGTGGAGAGGGGAATGGGGGTCATCTCAGTCGGTGGCCTTGACTGTGTCTGTAACAGCAATACCTGTCATAACAAATTGAGAGACCACCTGAGAAATGTGCACTGTCAATGAGATCAGGACACCGCCGCTCTCCCAATGACCTAAAGCTGCGTTAAGGTTTTTCTTTTTAAAAAAACTATTTTCTTTGTACAATGTGCCACTAAACCCGCTTGTTTTGCTTTGCTACATATTTATACACGGATTTCGGCTGCTTTAATTCATTTATGGACGAAGCAATCGGTTAGTTGCGGGTTCAGATTTGCAGGTAGATATTTTTATAGCTGAACGTTTCTGAGATTCGTCCCATTTGTACAGCAAAAAAAAAACTCTACAGTGCAGCAAAGACAAGTGCCCGTCACTTCACAAAGAATCCAACCAGTGAACGCTATTGATTCACCCAAACTTAAATGCCAGCACTTTATTTAAAACAAAAAATAAACACCGCATTCTCCCAAATGCCCCTCGTTAATCTTTTCAAACGTGAAACGCCTCGAGTCGCTGCGCTATCACCTGGTCTCTTTTTCACTGCACCGAAGGACAACAGTAGTAAATTTGTCGGAAATATATTGGTCCGGTATTTAGGGATGTAAAGTGTTTCAAAGTGCCGGGAGTAATGTTAACGATGCTGTCTGTCATTTTTGTAGTTGTACTGAAAATCAGTTGTGTTGGGCCATTTGCTGCTGAGCTGAGCGCAGTGACACCCAGTGGATCAGGCGGTCCACACATCATCTTTTAACACAGCAGTAGTAACGCCAGGAACTATTTGGGAATAAATCATGAAGCGCAAAAAAGGGAAACACTTCCGTTACCGACGCAACGCAAAACAACAACAACAACAACAAAAACAACAAACAAACAACAGCAAATTGCATTGATGTGGCGCCTTTCATTTCACATCGACGCTGAACAGTGAAGGCTTTGCACCCGATCGTGTTAGTCTGGCATTCAGGTCAACTTAACCAATACAGCGACTCTCTAAATAAGGTTGTGTAATGTGTGGTCTTTTTTCCAGTTGTAACTGGAACAGCTGGACCAGCCTGGCCTTGTTGAATATTGCACATTGATCTTCTGTGCAGCACATAGAAATACCGTAATAAAATAAAATAAAATAAAATAAAATAAAGACCACCGCTTTCCTGAACGTTGATACTTTTTTCAGATATTTCGAGGAGGGAGGCTTTATTGTTCAACAAAAAAAACCCAGGATGAAGGTTGAGGATGTCTCCTCCTGCCAGGGCCAGTGTCAAGGCACCAATGTACATGACTGGAAGGGGCAGCGCTTCAAACGCCAAACTGTTGCACGTCACTTAATACGCGTTTCATGGGCAAAATATGTTATTTGTAAATCAAATGATATGTTTCGAAGGATTGCTTTAGTGATCCTCGCGTGGCCTGCTTTCAATCTAAACCATCAGAAATAGATCTGCAGCCTTTCCTGGCAGAATAGCGAACTTCGGAATACAGTACATAGGAACATAAATATATGGTAAACTATTACTCAGGCGCTATCTTCCTGGTCAGCTCAGTTGACTGCGATTGTTTCTACAATATATATATGTGCAGTCAAGTGTATCCATAAAATATAAAATATACAGTCAATCCACGTTACAGTATATTCTGTGGCGCTTTGGGACGTCTAAACGACATGATACATCAAATGCAAGGATAATAATATTATTATTATTATTGGAATTGTAAACTTGAATCGGGTGGGAGAGAGTTTGAAGAGTTGCGAGGCTTTTTTGTGTATGTGGGAGAAACCAAGCTGTACTTCAGAACTGGATGATTATATCCCTCTTTACTGTTTTGGGCAACATTAAAAACAAGTGTTCATAATTGGATCCCAAATCCTCACTCTTTACACGGAACCTCGTTTACCTCTGACTTGTGTGAAAATAAAACAGAAAGGATCTGAAATCAATTGAACAGTTTATATGTTCTACCCCAGGCTCCCGTGAAAAGGAAGGAGTCACCTTTGATGGGGATTTCATTATGAATGAGTGTGAGTATGTGTGAGTATATACCAAACATTTCAAACTGGAGAGATATAATACTGTATAGCGGTGAGCGAATGAAAACGAGTTTATCTTAAACGCAAAACATCCTTTATTTTGCAACCACCTTTACATGTAAAGAAAGCGATATCCCGTCCTGTTGTGAAGTAACACAAGGAAGTAAAATGCTTTCGTAAAATGAAATTTCATCGGTGATACGCAGAAAATGGGGGGAGTTGAACAGGGCTGGGTCAAACTGCGGTGAAATTTTAGTATTATTCATAAATCACACGACCATTTAAAATTACTGCGGGTATTTATATACTGTGACCTGCAAATTATACTGAATTTAAGACTTAATTATATCCCATAACATGACCCTGTAGTTTTGCTGAGTACTGAACGTGCTGACTTATTCTTACACAACGCTTACTGAGAAACTTCAATGGACTTTTATATCACGACTTGTGAGCTTCCAGCAACAAATCACTGTCTTACGGTTTGCCCTGATTTACTTTTTTGGCCTTGCACTTTATTTTATTCAAATTCTTCTAAAACTAAACTCTGGTCTCTTCGGTCCCGCACCACTAAACGGCGAGATTTTAGGGGAGACTTTAACACAACCGTTCGCTTTTAATCTTTAATGTAAACGTGCATCACTTAGACACACGCTCTGAGTGACACCAGGAGGGTTTAAATGATCAGCGGTGGCAGGTTTCGACATATACAATACACGGGGAACACGGTCAAATTGCACAATAATTTCTAACTGATTCAAAATCGGTCCCAACTCCCAATTCAGCAGAGCAGAATTTGAATGGTCGCTGCCTTTCCTGGAGACTTTGCCTTATCTTTCGCCCCTGGGGGTGAAGCTGCAATTAAAAAGTAATTCAGACTGAGTTGAACAGAAAGACTTTGTAATCTGTTTTCTACCCCGAGACTGGTTTGATAGTTTTAACGCTTAAACCTATATTTTTTTTAAAAATGAAACACTTTCCCAGTTGGCTGTTCATCCGATTTCAGGCATAACATTTGGGGGTTAAAATAGGTGTTTTATTTTTTTTTAAAAAAAATCAATACCATTCAAAATCCGAGCTCACTCCCACCTGAGTTGAAAGTTCCGGACTCTTTTGACACTTCCACTGCGAATGTCGCAGAAGTTTCGTTTAACGATGGTTTCGGCCCTTTTTCTAATTAGTTACTTCTTTTAAAAAATAAAAAAGTATAGTTACTGCACGTGTCAAAAAAAATATTTTACATCAATTTGCAAGTTTTTTTTGGGGGGGGGAATAAATAACCGGTTGAATTGTAGCGGTGGAGAGAGCTGTCGTTGGGTAATACCCTCTACCCCAAACTATCACCCGAATAAAATAATTGAGAATAGATCGGATTCAATTGCCCCGGACTATTACTTTGTTTCAAGACCTGACCGTTGGAATCTGTGCAAACAAAATTGACACAAGACAGAAAAAAAACCACCCTCCACAACCCGCTTTTATTTTAGCTTTTAACTGCAATATTTCCACGTTCAGTCAACCTCGAATAATCAGATGGCAAACGAGTGGGCGCTTGTTAAGATTAAAATGCACAAACAGCAATGTTTGATAGACCATCTACAATAGGTTATTACAAGGTAGATTGTGTCCTCTGTTGACCCACTCGATAAAATACGACCACTTATTTCTGTCTATTGATTTGGAACATGAGAAGCCAGGACGCCAGTAAAAACATCAATCTATATAGGAAGGTCCTGGTTTATTGGGAGTTTGGTGTTGCGCGGAGTCTCCTTTAAACACGTTGGATTGAGATGGTTTGTATTTTTGGTGCCCCCAACTTTCCCCTTTCCCCCCCCCCACACACACACACACACACTCCCTTCCAAGTAATACCTACACCTGGGAAGGCGATTTATAAAGAGATGTTCCTGTATTTATTAGTTCAGTCACAGGGTTACAAGGAGAGAGATCCAATAAATTGGAACAAGTCCCGGTGTCTCCGGGAGGAGAGTTGGGTTTGATGGCTGTTCGGAGGCTGGTCGTAAATACACAGCTTTGTTTGAAATCAATATTCAGAAAGGATGAAATCAAACAGAACCACCCGCATCAAAACAGAATAAATCATTAAGGCCCCTGAAATGCACATGGAAACGTTTATGCTCTATTAGCGAGGGCCAAATTAAAACATTCTCCGTTATCTCCTTACAGGCTGCTGTTTGCACTTTACCTGTCAATAACTCGTGGGTTACAGGAACCCTACAATGTTCAAAAATAATATGCAATACAAAAAAAAAGCCATAAAACTATTTGGACGAGCCTTGCGTTCTGATAACAGATAACTTTAAATATTTAGATTTTTTTTTTCTGTTGCATTGATTTTGTGTGATAACCAAAATGAAGATTTCAAAGGCTACAAACTCTCGTCGGATTATTTCGTACGTGTTCTCTCTTGTTGGTGCCTTGGGATCGCTGCGACTGGCGTTTTCTGTTGTTTTGAAATAATAAAAATAATTGGCAATTCGATGCCTTTTTTGGCGAAGCGAATCGTCCCAACGCGGTTTCAAACGAAAACGATGAAAGTCGCACACGTTAAACGTAACCCTTTGGCTCTATTTGTATGGTGTTGTACGGGAACTGGGATTGATCCAAAGCCCCTCAAAACAGTGCATTTTTGAAGCTTCCCCCCCCCCCCCCCCCCCCCCCATACAACCGATCTCTAGTGTATAATCTGTCATAAGGGAGTTGTGTGAGTGTGTAATTCATCTGTCAGCAACATTCACCCATCTCCCTCTGATACACACACACACACACATACACACACACAGGAGTCCTCCTTCCTTTGGACGGAACTTTTTAATCGAAATTAAAGTAAAAAGTGCAACAGCATAATGTATTTATTTCCTCCCAGGCGATGAGCTCGAACTGCTGGAGCTGTGCAGCTGTCACCGCCAACCTGAAGGCTTTGCGGCTGCAGTGGATGTGTTGAAATGGTGTGTGTGTGTGGGGGGGGGGGGGGGGGGGGGGATTGGCTGCTAATATCCCGTTAATTGCTCTTTCCCCCTAATTTAACGTTGTCCCAAGTTCCTCTTCTGTTATTTTAGCTATTCACTCGCCGGGTGTTCCCCTGAAGTGTAAACCTTTTGTGCCTATATTTACCCAACATTGACATCTTCGTAGTTTTGAAACCCCAGAGCTTTGCTTTTCTGTATGCATGTACGTAATGTATGTATGTATGTATGTATGTATGTATGCATGTACGTAATGTATGTATGTATGTATGTATGTTCGTATGTACGTAATGTTGTATGTATGCATGCATGCATGTACGTAATGTATGTATGTATGTTTGTATGTGTGTGTATGTATGTGTGTATGTGTGTGCGTGTGTGTATGTGTGTGTGTGTGTGTGATGGGGAAGGGGGGAGAATGAGGGGCCTTTGCAGGTAAGTGTAGACTTTATCCTGATCTAATGAAATGAAGTACAGTGTGTGTATGTGTGTGTGTGTGTGGAAAGTGACCCATCACCTGTGGAAGGAGCATCTCGGGTAGAACTAATAGTCAGTCCGGCAATGTGCTACAGGGCTCACTGAATACAAACTACTAAGTAAGCCGACAACAACTGTAGTCAAGCAGAGGCATTTCTGCCTCTATACACTGTCTGATTTCAAAACAGAACAGAATTCATCCAAGTTGCGACTCTTCCCCGAAAAGCAGTGACCTTATGCCTTCCATCTGTGTGAGGGTGTGATTAAATCTACAGCAGCCGCAGTGTGGGAACCTGCAGTTGGGAGAAACACTTATATATATATTATTTTTTTTTTGGCAACATTTCTTTTTCATTTCTGCACGTTTTCGTTCGGTTTAAGTGACGATGATCCGCCAAACAACAGCCTGTTTGGTCGGACGGGGCCAATGGACCAAAGTTCAGATTGAGAACGACATTTGAGTTTCACGTTGACCAAACTGAACCCAACGAGATCATCCCCCCCACCCCCCACCCCCCCCCCCACCCCCCACCACTGCTAACTTCGCACATCAAAAGGCACAGCGGTTCTAATGGTTTATTTTGATGGGTTCTGGTTAATAACACGATAACCAGCTGCCATCATTGTTAAAAGAAGT